GTTGTTTGTCTTTACAACGTCATTATTGTATGAAATGTTTTCCTGCTTCTACTCACTTCATTTTGCATAAGTTAATACATATCTTCCCAGGTTTCTTTGAAACTATCCCCTTCACCATTTCTTATGGCACAATAGTATTCCAGTACATTCATATACCACAATTTGCTCAGTCATTCCCCAACTGATAGACACCTTCATAGTTTCCAGGTTTTTTTTTCCAACACAAAAAGAACTACCATAATTATCTTTGTGCATATGGGTCCTTTTCCTCCTTCTTTGATTTCTTTGGGGTATAAACCAGAAAATAGATTGTCAAAAGAGGGGAAAGAATGGAGTCTTCAACCTGTAGACCAAGATATGACTTTGATCCTACAGAAAATCCAGACTTTGTTGTTAAAGAGATGGTTAATGAACATTTAGAAAAGGGAAGCAGGAATTGCCAGGATCTAGCATGGTGTCATCAAGAACTAGTCATACCAACCTAATTTTATTTCCGTCCTTGACAGGGTTACTAAACTGATAGATAAAGCGAATGTGGTAAATCTAAGTTACTTTTTAGCAAAGCATTTGATAAGGTATCTCATTCTCATGAAAAATATGGAGAGATGTGGGATAGAGGAAAGTACAATTAAATGGATTTTAAACTAGGTAAATTGGCAGATCCAAAAAGTTACAGAGTAATCGTTAATGGTTAACTGTCAACTTAGAAGAAGGTCTCCAGGGGAATATCCAAGGGGTTGTCCTTGACCCTGTGCTTTTCATCAAACAGATGAAACTGAGAGGCATGGCAAATATCCTAGATAATAAAGTCCACTAGATGATAAAGGATTCCAAAAAACCTTAACAGATTAGAACATTGAATTGAATCCAAAATAGTAATTTTAATAGTGATAAAAGCAAAGGTTTACATATGCATTTGAAATATTGACTTAATGAGTACAAGATGAGGGGTACATGGTTAGATAGCAGATTGTCTCAAAGATCTGGGAGTTTCTGTAAAATGCAAGCTCAAGTGAGTCAACAGGGTGATATGACAGAAAAAAAAGTGATTTCATCTTTGACCGAATTAAGAGAGCTTAGCTTTCAGAAATGAGGAAGTGATAGTTACATTGTACTCTGCCCTAATCAAACTCATCTAGGATATTGCATTCATGTCAGAGCACCATATTTTTAGAAGGATTACGCCAAGAAGGAGAGTGAACAGAGGAAGGCAACCAGGATAGTGAAGGAACTCCAAGTTCATTCCTTATATGAAGAGGTCAAAGGAAATACAGATGTTCAGACTGGAGAAGAGAAGATTTATGGGGAGAATGACATGTATCTTTAAGTATTTAAAGGGCTGTCAACTGGAAGATGGATTAGACTTTTTTCAGTCCTGGATCCAGAGAAAAGAATTATGAGTGGTGGGGGAAAGTTACAAAGAGGCAAATTTAGGCTTGACATAAGGAAAATTTTCCTAATAATTAAAGCTAAACAAAAGTGAATGGGATTTCTGGGATGCTAGTATATTCCTCCTTATCAATAATCTCCAAGAAAAAATCTGGATGACTACTTATTATGTTTGTTGTAGAACAGATTTGGGGAGGATGGGGGGACTCTCTTTTTCTCTCTCTCTCTCTCTCTCTTCATATATGCACACACATGTACATATATGTATTAGATTATAGAGAATGTTAATAATATGTACCCATATTAATAACATATTTTTACATTATATATTTTAATTATTGTAATTACCATTTACTAGTTATTATATTGTTGTATTAATATAATTAATACATAAGTATTGTGTATTATATAATATATAGTATAATATATTGGATATATAAGGTATATGTATATATACATATACACATATGTATGTATGTATGTGTATATTTTGTATTTTGTATCTGTATATGTGTGTATATGTGTACGAATATAAAAAATAGTGAGGTTTTTTCCAATTCTGAAATTCTGTAATTCGGGCAGGTCTTTCCACCACACCACAAAGCAGGCGGCACTGAAGCCTTACTTTAGAGCATGAGTTTTCCAAGCATTTGTTTGGTGAAGAGGTCCTAAACTCTTCTCTACCAGAGAATGTCTGCAGAAGGTAATGATCTTTTGGGAATGGTAGGAAGGATAGGGAGAGTGCTGAAAATGACTCCATTGCTTGTTTTTTTTTTCCCTATTGCTTTACTTTGGTTTTATTTCTCAACAAGATACTTTGCTACTTAATTTATGATTCCTATCTAATCTGTTAATGGAGCAGACACTGCACAAGAGCTCAGACCATATATTATACCTATCTTGAACCCCAAAACTTGTTGGCAACCTTGGGATTCCAGAGTGAGTAGAATATATGTTACATAGATAGTGGCCCTCTATTTTCTCACTCTGCTAGAATGAGAATAACCCAGGGTGATGATAGTACTCCCTTTGAAGGCAGATGGATGGTAGTGTATCTGGTAAGCTAAACTTGGCATCAGGAAAATCCGAGTTTCAATCAAAACACTTAGTAGCTCTATGGCTCTGGGCAAGTTACTTAACCTCTTAGCCTCGATTTTCTCATCTGTAAAATGGGAATAATGACAGAATCTATGTCACAGAGTTGTTGTTTAGTTGTGTCAGACTCTTTGTGACCCCATTTAGGGTTTTCTTGGCAGAGATACTAGAGTGGTTTTGCCATTTCCCAGCTCATTTTACAGATGAGGAACTGAGGCAAACAGGGTTAAGTGACTTCTCCAGGGTCACACAGCCAGTAAGTGTCTAAGGATGGATTTGTACTCAGGAATATGAGTCTTCCTGTCTACAGGCCTGGTGCTCTATCCCCCGAGCTACCTAGTTCCTTGAGTTGTTGTGAGGATCCGGTAAAATGCTTTTTAAACATTAAACCATAAATGTTAGCTATTCTGAACCTCCAAAATCACTGTTTCAATATAATCTTCAGACACTTCTGTCATATGACTCTGCCTGTTTTCTTTCATCTTCTATGTATGAATGCAATGTATGAACATTTTCGTAAGTTCATCTATGTCATTACAATAACAGAATTCTCATACCTCCTTATCAAATGTCATTTCTAAATTACCAAAAAGTGCTTACTATAATAAACTTCTCACAACATTTTTGCACTTGCATACAGTTGACTGTCTTGTCTCAATTTCATTTTCCCTATAAGGAAAAAGAGAATTTTAACATCTGGCATAGATTCAGTCTTGTTCTATTGGGAGACCTTCATATTTCCCACCCACATATTTTAAAGTTATCAGGTGATTCTCTCAACATTGGACCAACCCTTACAGTCAAGTCCCCTCTACAGACTGGCTCCCAATGAAGATCCTGGTGCATTTTATTTTATTAATTATTGTTACCCAAATCAGGAAGACTGAGCAATTGATCTGTTGGCAACTATTGCCAATATTACAAGGACACCAACCTCTCTCTTCTTATAAGGCTGCCTTTATCCAGCATGTGAATAAGTGAATGAATCAATGAAAGAGCTTTTATTAAGTACTTACTATGTGCCAAATGCTGAGAATACAAATATAAAAAGCAAGACAGCTCTGCCTTCAAGGAGTTTACACTCTAATAAGGAAAAATAGCATATGTAGGGGAGTGATGACCAGGGTGGAATACTTGATTGGCTTGTCCTTTATAGGAATTATAGTGTTGATTTGATTACTGTTCCCAGAGTAAGAAGAAGAAAGTAATTTCCGAAATTCTCTAGATTGGTGGCACCCCTCAGTGACTCACTTAAGCATCCAAAGCTCTTCCACTAGCAATAGAAACTGAAATTAACTTTCATAAAGATGTCATTTGATCCTCAATACAATACTGTGATGAAATCTAGGGAGATATTATAATCTCCCCTTTATAGATGACGAACCTGAGTCTCCAGCAAGGTTATAAGTGACTTGATCAAGGTTATAGTGGCAGAGCCAGCATTACAATCCAGGTTTCTTTATTCCAGGGCCAATGTTCCTTCTACTCTGCCATAATGCCTTCCCTTAATACTACTTGATGAAAGGAGAAAAAGTTTTATATGCGGCTACCGTCTCAGAGGTGGGTAGCCAGAGTAAAAGAGTTGGATTTAGTCTGAAAAGAGTTTCCTCTTTTTTTCTATGAATAGCCAGGAATACACGTGTCCTCTGCACTTTCTCTCTGCTCCTGATACATAGAAGAAGGGGAAAAAAACGGTCAGAACCCATTTTCCTATTTTTGGCTTTCATGTTTTAATGAGATTGGGTTTATCTGGGTAGATTCTGTTGGCATTGGCCTAGGGGCTGACCCGTTGGGTAGTTTATCTAGGGACATGGACAGGCAGGAGAGGTGTGCCTACACCACAGCTGCACATAAAACGTTGGAAGCTGTCCCAGAATTTAAACGCTTGTGCAGACGCGGCCAATTTTTCCTTTTGTATTTCTGCAATAGGCTGGGGCCGCTTTAGGTTAACTTGACCCGTGCCTTTCGCAGAGTCATCTCATACGACTAAGGAGTTTGGTGCTGAAGCAAGTATTTAGGACCGAGAATTGCTTCTTTAAAAAAAAAGAAATTGGCCCTCAAATTGCACTGTACAAGACAGGGCCACGCTAGGGTTTGGTGGAAGTTTACAACTCGTGACACTAGAATTAGAGCAATGTAATCCGTCTCGGCCCTCCCTTCCCACCTCCGCTAAAAAACTCGCTACAAAACACAAACAAAAACACAAGCACGCAACTTGACAGAAGGGCGGGGCCGGGAGAGTGAATGACATCTGCCTCGACCAATGGCTGGGATCGGGCAGACCGCGGGCCCCAATGAGCGGCTCGGGCTCAGAAAGAGAGCAACAAAGTCATCTATGATGACACCCCGGTCCTTGGGTTTGCTTCCAGACACCCCACGCTCCCTCCCCGGCAGCGCTCGAGGTCGCTCTCCCCTGCTCTCTTGTCCTCGGGCGGGGCGCCAGCGGGAGGCGGCCGAGGCTCCCATTGGGCAGCGCCGCGGGGCGGACGTCACTGTCTTTGTCGCCGTCCAGCTCAAGAAGGTGGAAGGGGGGGAGGGAAGACTGCCCCGCTCCGCTGGGTGGAATGGACTGGAATGAGTGACAGCCGAGCTGCTGTGGCCCCCCCCAGGAAGAAGGAAGTGAAACGCGCAGAGGGGTGGGGAGAGCCCCAGGAGGAGTGGGGAGGGAGCCCGCTTTAGGTGAGGTGCGAGGGAGCCGACCTCCGGGATCCAGAAGGCACCTGGATACAGGACTCCCGTGGGGGCACCGTTGTACGTGCCAGGTCTACACTGCAAGGGAGACTGCGGGCTGGGGCCGAGTAATCAGACCACCCCCCTGAAACCACCACCACCCCCTCCTTGTAATTGTGCGAGTCCAAGTGGCATTCGGTTCGTTTGTGCGTCTAGAGTGGCCCTGAGAGTCCTAGACTGGCTCCAGGCTGGCCGCTTCAGGTGAGTAGACCTAGCCACACAGACTGGCCGCTTCAGGGGTATAGACCTGGCCACACAGAGTGGCCGCTTCGGGGGGGGGGGGGGGTAGACCTGGCCACACAGACTGGCCCTTCAAGGGAGTAGACCTGGCCACACAGACTGGCCGTTTCAGGTGGGGCTGATCGCATCTTTCTCCTCCTCCTCTAGTTGCTCATGACAAAGACGTACTGGCAGGCCGTCTCACCCCGAGGGACAGGTGAGTCTTCTGGCTCCCAGAGCAGTTGCCATGAGATCGCTGGGAAGCCGTGGTACTGAGAGCCAAGGATAAAACTGGGACTGTTACACTCCCCAGACTCCTGCGCTGACCAACAGGAAGATTTGAGCTTAAGGTGAGTCTCAACAATCCTCTTTTAGCTTTTTCCATGGATTTGTCCTGTAAAAACAGCCCTTTGTGTAAGGGAATGGCAAATATGCCAAGATAAATATGTCTGATTAGCCAATAGTGATACTCTGAAAGGTACTTGTCATTTGCGCAATAAAAACCAGTGGGCAAATTAATTAATTGAAATTAAAAGAATTATAAAAGCAGAGACCTGTAACGTGATGGGTGGCCAGAGCTGGTGATGTAATTTAGTAAAGGTTGTTTCCAAGTTTTAGTTAAGAAAAAAATACCTCCTCTTAAAAATAGAGAATTTGAAATCTTCCAGTTTACTGAGACTCCTCCTCCTAGGTAAAATAATTTCTTCTATAGTCAAGTCTAAACTTCCTGAGATCTCCTTAGTTTTTCCCCTTTGCTCCACAAAACTTCAACTTCACATTTGCCTTTTTAAAAAGTATACTATTATACTGAAATACATTTAGTTATGGATTTTCTTTCTTTTTTTCAGAGAATTAAACCAGACCTTCATCATGAAGATTCTGTTCATAGAACCTGCCATTTTCCTTAGTGCATTTGCTTTGTCTTTGACTAGTCCACTGACAACACAATACATATATCAGAGGATATGGAAGGAAACAAGTAACTATAGCTATATAGATAATAGCAATGTCTCTGAATGTGAAGCAAATAAAAGCAATCCAATTTATGAAATCCAAAAGGTAAGAAATAAAAAGATGGAATAAAAGGTAACAAGGAAAATGATTTGTAATTGTAAATTAACATGTAACGAATGAGAAAATTTAACTATATTCTCTCTGTTATCAACAAACATTTGGGGAAATGGGGACCGGAAGTTCAAAATGGGGATGTTGGCTCTATGCGTGAGCTATTTTGATATAATTTTATATTCCGGAAATCAGTCTCCCATCTAAACGTGATGGCATTGCATAATCTGAAAACAAAGTAGGGAAAGGGAATATGGCAGTTAGTAGAACTCTTAGGCCATTGTCTAAACATACAATGACTAAATTGTAGGCCTCAGTGATTCTCTCTTCAAATCTGTTTCAGAAATGGTTCAATGGAAGAATTTCAAAGAGTAGGGAAATCATGGCTAGCACTTCCTGAATGCTCACAGTTGGTATCCAATAAATAGTCCTTGGGCATATAGATAAGAGTGAGACCTTCTATAAAAAGGAACAATCATTCATTTGATAATTGACATCTGTGTTGGACTCATAAACTTGGACTCAGACTCAGGAAGGTCTTATTTCAGATCCTGTCTCAGACACATAAACAGCTGGGTTGGTATAAAAGAAAGAGATCTGGTTTTTGTGCCAGAGGACCTGGGTTTGAATCCTGACTCTACTACTTACTACCTCCCCTGTGACCTTCATTTCTGTCACTTCATTTTTCTGGGCCCTTCATTTTTCATCTGTAAATTGAGAAAGTTGGGCTAGATGTAAAAAATCTATAATTCTAAGTCACCTAGCCTTTCTCTGATCATTAGTTTCCTCATATGTAAAATGAAGATAACAATAGCACCTTTGTCCCATGGTTGCACAAATGTAACAATGCAAGTCAAACGTACTGTGAAACCTTGAAGCACTACATAAATGTGAGTTACTTGATTATTTTTATATCAACTGTTTGGATTGTTTCCTGAATATCATCTGCATGGAATCTTAGATGGCAACTTTATATTATTTAAAGTTTATGAATAACAAGCTGGTTTATAAAGAAAGCTATAATAATGTTTGCTAGTGTATTAGATAACACCTCAGTTTTATTCAGTAAGCATTGACTGAGTCCCTATTATGTGTCAGGCACTGTGCTAGACAGGTGTGTTGGGGAGGGATTGAAGTTAGGAAAGACTGGAGACTAATTAGAAGACTATTGTAAAAGTCCAAGTGGGATGGATAAAGCTAAGTGGTATGCTGCATAGAGTGCCGGGGCTGGAGTCGTTTTCCTGAGTTCAAATCCAGCCTCAGACACTTAGTAACTGTGTGACCCTTGGCAAGTTACTTCACCCTGTTTGCCTCAGTCTCCTCATTTGTAAAATGAGCTGGAGGAGGAAATGGCAAACCACTCCAGAATCTTTGCCAAGATTCTGGATCTTGGCAAATGAGATCACCAAGAGTTGGACACAACTGAAAAATGACTAAAAAGAGATGTTATGGGAATAAAATGAGATCACCAAGAGTTGGACGCAACTGAAAAATGACTGAAAAGAGATGTTATGGGGATAAAATGAGATCACCAAGAGTTGGACACAACTGAAAAATGACTGAAAAGAAATGTTATGGGGATAAAATCAGCAAGACCTGGTACCTGATTAAATGGAGAGGAAGAGAGGAGTGAAAAGTTAAAAATCATTCCTAGAATTTGTACCTGAGTAACTGGAAGGATGGTGATAGCCTCAACAATAACAACAACAACTCAGTCAGCTAATCAACAAACATTTATTAAATGCCTACTGTATGTGTATATCAGGCCGTGTGGTAGGGATGCAAAGGCAAAGATGAAATATAGCCCCTGCTCTCAAGGAACTCACATTCTGTTGGGGCAGATAGATATTTTCCCAAAAGTATTCAGTTTCTCTGTGTAATATCTTTCTTTACTGTCTTTACTGGAACCTTATTTTAAGCTGGGCTTATATGATTTTATGAGCATATAGAAACACTAGCAATAGGGAAGTTGGGAAAAGGAGTGACTGAGAGTAGGGGGAAAGATGAGCTCTATTTTGGGATGCCCCTGGGACATTCAACCAAGGGCAGATGTCCAACAGGCAGTGGGAGATTTGGGGCTTAAGCTCAGGAGATAAATGGGGTATATAGACATATAGATCTAGTAGTCATCTATATGGAGATGGCAATCCAGATTGGGAAAATGGCATATGTGTGTTTGTGTGTGTGTGTGTCTATTTTAATTAAGAACTGTTGACCCACAGGATAACAAAGATAGTGTGAGCCACATAAATATACAACAGCTTAACTTAAGAGTTTTTTTCTTAAAGAAATACAAAATCTTCCATTTCTCCATTAAAATTAGGAAAGCAAAGCATAAAGTAGTAAAAATTATTCAGGAAACCCTTGGTATTCCTGGATATGTGACTTAATGTTTTGGATATAGTGGTATTTGGATCTAGGTAGCACAGTGGATAGAGTCTTGGACCTGGAGTCAGGATATACCCGAGTTCAAATCTGGCCTGTGTGACCCTGGACAAATCACTTAACCTCTGTCTGCCTTGATTTCCTCAAGGGTAAAATGATATAGTAACAGCACTTACCTCCCAGGGTTGTTGTGAGGATCAAATGAGATAATAATTTTAAAGCTCTTAGCACAGTGCATGGCACATAGTAAGTGTTATATAAATGTCTTCTCTTTCTTTCTCTCTTTTTTCTTTTTTCTTTCTCTCTTTCTTCCAATACTGTATTGAAAGTACAGCTATTAGTGTATTCTCCCACTTAGACTTGTCACACAACATTCTGCCTTCATCCCCTGCCTACTCCAGTAGTTTCCGCAGTGAAAAAAACAAAAAAAAAAAAAAAAAAAACAAAAGCAAAAGCAAAAGTAAAACCGCAGGCCCTCATACAAGCAAACATGCTTTTCTCTAGTTGCTTATCCATGGAAGACTGATAAGAAATTTCTCTTAATTAGGCCCGCTCCCTACCTCCCTAGCACAGGTATATAGATTGCTGGTTCTCCTAGGGATTTGAATTGCACTATAAACCTGCAGAAAGACCTACTGACTTTTGCTACCTTAGAAGCCATGGCTGCCTACCTTGTCACTCAATTTTGAAGATCCTTACTGCCTTGGAAATTATTCTGCATAGTCCCAGTTAACTAGTGTTGGACTTTCTGTTGTGGCTAACATATCTGAGAGGCTTTGAATTTTTTTCCCCTTAATAATGTTTTTATTGTCAATATTTGGGAAGACTGGCAAAAACATCTTTTTTATCTGTTCTCTATTCCTCTCTGTGTATGTGTGCCCTCTCCATATCTCCATATCTTCTTTCCTAAGCCTCAGCCTTCTTCTCTGACCCTAGGTTTCATGATCTTTCTCCTTCTGCCTCTGGCTCTCTGTATGTCTCTGTTTTTATTCTATTTATCTTTCCCATCTTCGCTTGTCTCCCAATATCTTCATTTTTCCTTAAACTGATAAAGACACTCATACAGATCCATATACAATGAGTATGTAATGTATATGCCAATGAGTATATGCCTTATTCAGCATATTTACATTTTTCATATCACCATGAAAAACTTCCAAAGTGGTATTTCCACAATTATAGGCATATTACCCCCTCTGGAAAAGCATTTTTGTGTAGTGAGTCAAGGACTCTTGGATTCAGAGTTCCTACTCTGAGACAACCTGGCTATAGTACTTTGGACAAGTCACTCTCAATGCCATGCAGAAGAGCTGTTGATGTACATAGGCAGGTGGAGTTTCTTCAAGGGAATTCCCTATACCAATGGAATTATAGGTCTGGACAAAACAAAGCAAAAACAAACAAACAAAAAAAGCCCAACAAAACCCAAACCACTTCTATACTTAATCTGTGTTGATTAAGTCAGAGATTGAAGTTAATTTGTGGGGTAACGGTTTTTGTAACCTCCATTTAAATTCAATTTCAAGGAAGCTGTGCTGATTTTATCTTTTCTAAAGCTCTCCATATATATTTCATTGACTTGTATTAATGTTTCTCCACTAAAAATACTCATCGAATACCTCATTATGTCATGGATAGGACCATGGATTTTTAGGAACTATAGTAGTGTAGTGTGAATTATGTCTCCCACACTGGTAATGTTCTTCCTCCTCTCTCATACTTCTTGATTTCTCTGGCTTCCTTCGAAACAGCTCAAATCCCACTTTCTACAGGAAGCTTTTCCTGGTCTCCTGCTTTCCTACTCCATTACTAGTGCCTTTTTCTCAGAGATTACTTTCTAACTACTCTTTACATATCTTGCATGTACCTAGTTATTTGTATATATTATCTCTCCCCATAGAATGGAAGCCCCTTGAGGGCAAGGACTTTTTCTTTAAGTTTCTTTGCGTTCCTTACACTCAGCACAGTACCCGGCACACAGTAAGCAATTAATAAATGCTTTTGACTGATTGCTTTTTTGACTGAGGACCTACCATGTTGGAAAGGGTTCAAATCCTGGCCTTATGATGTTCGTAATCTGAAGCCCAGACTCACCAGATTCAGAAGGCTCATCATCAGGGGTTGGCCACTAGATGAGTTTTTTGGCCATTGAAATCCATCAGATTATCGACTAAGAGGGTGTTATTTGTGTTAGTCCAAGGGGATGAAATTGTGGATCCTTTAAGTTTCAAAGTATACTAATAATATTGATTAATTATATAATTACATTGATTTCTTTTTTTCTTCTTTGTAGGAAGTTCAAAAAAAAACCTCTCTTTTTAATCTTCAGATGGACTTAAGTGCATTGATTCCTGGCATTGTAGTTACCTTCATTCTTTTATCCAGCAGTGATCAAAAAGGACGAAAAGGGCCTCTGGTTTTGTCCTCTATAGGTGCTCTTGCAAGCAACATTTGGCTTTGTTTGCTCTCATATTTGGGCTTACCTATCCAACTGCTGATAGCATCCACTTTAATCAGTGCATTTTGTGGCAATTCAACAACCTTTTTGGGAGGATGCTTTGCTTACATAGTTGATCAATGTAAAGAAGAGAAACAGAAAACTATACGGATAGCCATCATTGACTTAATACTTGGACTTGTTACTGGATTAACAGGATTGTCTTCGGGCTATTTCATCAAAGAACTTGGTTTCGTGTGGTCATATTTTATTACTTCATTGGCTCTAACCATTAACTTGATATATATAGTATTTTTTCTTGAGGACCCAATTAGTGTGTCTTCATCTCAGGATTCTTCCATGTCATGGAGTAAAAACTTTAAAAAATCATTTTTAAGAGCTTATATGCTTTTTAAAAATATTACTGGCAAACAAAGGACTTTGCTCTGTTTGCTACTTTTTACAATGATTACTTATTTCTTCGTAATAATTGGTTCATCTCCTATATTTATCCTTTATGAGCTGAATTCACCTCTCTGCTGGAATGAAGTCTTCATAGGATATGGTTCATCCTTAGCAAGCATATCTTTCTTGACTAGTTTTCTAGGGATATGGTTTTTTTCTTACTGTCTTAAAGATGTTTACATCGTCTTCATTGGAATTTTGACCACGGCTGGAGGGATGGCACTGACTGTATTTGCCAGAACAACACTGATGATGTTGTTAGGTGAGTTCAAAACTCAGCCCTTTGATGGAACCACACTGAAAGGGAAAACTTTTATTATAAGATGCCCACTATCTGGATAGTAAGGATGGGATTTAAAATGCCAATGGCGCCTAGGAATCAAAATTCAAAAGGAGAGGCAAATTATCTTGTTCTTTAAATGAAATCAGAGCTCAACAAATAACAAGGCAAATTATCAGTAGATTGATGAATGAATCTATTAGCTGAGGAAGGCTTATGCTAACCCAAAATTTAAGAAAGAAAATATTGCACTCAATTCATCATCAATTAAACAACTAAAAGAGGATTAAGTGAAGAAATTTAAATATATGAACTAATCTTGATTTACATGGAGGCCTCAAGCTTTCAAGAATGCTTATTTTGGAACTATTAGTGCAAATAAAAATAAACAATCCTTATAGACCAGTCCATGCCAATAAGAATTTGTTCCAAAATTCCTATTCCAGTGCTTTGCAGAACCAAAACTAAACCGGTATATGCCTTATGCCTAAAAATCAATTAATCAACAAATATGTAAGCACCTACTATGTGCCAGGCACTTTTTCTTCTGATTTGAAAAAACTGTATTTTAAATTTTCTTGAATCACTGTATATAAGGACAAGTATACGGTTGCACCAATATTTATACATGTTACAGTGGATGCTTAAAATATTAATGATTAGAAAGCAACCTGGTACAATAGAAAGAGCCCAAGATTTAGAGTCAGTGGACCTGCATTCAAATCACAGCTTTTTCTGCTGCTCATTATCTGTATGACCTTGGGCAAGTTACCTAGCTTCCCTGATCCTGAGGTCCTCATCTGTCACATGAGGGGTTGGACCAGATTGTTTATTTTATCATGAAAGTAACAAGTGGCTTATTTTTTTTTTCACAACAGACTAACAAGCACAATGCCAGGCACATGGGAGGTCCTTAATAGATGCTTACTGATTGATTCTTAAGCTTAATGTATACACTGATTTCAATGGAATAACAGCTCTGTTTGTTTTTAATTATTCATCAAAGATTTACAATTGGCTAAGTCAGTTTGGTCCTTAAGGTCTACAGAATGAGATACTTTTGGAAGGGGAAAGGAATAAGAGTTTGGTGTGGTTTGGTTTGGTATTTAGTTAAACATTGATCAATTTCCTTAATAAATAAATGATTTTTAATGATTTTTCCCTCCAGTCAGGATCCCTTTCCTCTTTACCTTCATGCCCTTGTCTGTTCTTCGGTCCATGTTATCAAAAGTGGTTCCCTCTACTGAACAAGGTGAGTTTAATATATGAGAGAGACAGATTGTTCTTACTGTTAAGAGATCTGGAATTCCAGATCACAAAGGATCAATTTATATTTCCTCATTGTGCCCTATAGCTTTTAGGGTTTTATTTGTTTTTGTTTTTTAAACCAAACTACATTTTAATCAAATGGGAAACTGTGTTAGGAAGAAGCTTGAAAGTATCCATTAGGGGAAGGGTGAGGAGGGAAGGGATGGACATGTAATTGCACTGGTTTAGACAACTCTCAATGAAAAACTCCCTCTACCACAGCAGGTCCTCACCTGTCCTACAATTTATGGGGTACTCAGAGGTGAAATGACTTGTCCAGAGCCCTACACATGCTATTGCATGTGTCTGAGGGGGCACTTGACCCCAGGTCTCCGTGACTCTAAGACCAGTTCTCCATCCCCTATGGAAGTCAATCCACTGTATCTCACTTATTGGGCTGGGGTTTAAAATCTACAACTGATATGTTTAATTTCAATATTCTATGTATATATGACAAACAGTGTGATATGATGGATAGGAACTTGGCTTTGAGTTAGGAGAATCTGTATCCATACCTTGCCTTTGGCATCTACTAGCTATGCGACCCCAGTGGACAAATCACTTCTCAGTGTCCCTAAGCAACTCTCTAAGGTGGACAGTACTGACCTATAGGACTGGAGGGAGCTCTATGAATTGATTAAATTATCAGTCTGGTTTAAAAAAAGTATTGATATGGCTTTGTGAATAATCTAGGAAAATTCTACCATAATCTCCACTGTCAACTTGTTCTTGGGTGGCTAACTTTAAAAAAATCCTTTGATCCCTTTAAATTCTTATGGTTGCTTATAGAGACAGATAGATGGAACATGGCCTAGAGTTAAGAAGATCTGATTGTGTGACCCTGTATGTCCTAGATTCAGCATTCATATGTATATGCTAACTGGGCTTTTGAATTGTATCAAGAAATAATAATTCCTGACATTTTTGTTGTTCAGTCATTTCAGTTGTGTCTGACTCTTTGTGACCTCTTTTGGGGTTATCCTGGCAAAGATACTGGAGTGGTTTGCCATTTCCTTCTCTAGCTCATTTTACCAACAGGGCTGGGACTTGCCCAGGGTCACACATTTAGTAAGTGTCTGAGACAGAATTTAAACTCAGGTCTTCCTGACTCCAGTCCTGGCTTTCTAAACAAAGTGCCACCTAGTTGCACCTGACATTTACACAGCACTTAAAGGTTTGCCAATTAATTTATTTACATTACCTAATGTAAATCCTGTGGGTTAGGTACTATCAGTATTATTGTCCACATTTTACAGATGAAGAAACTAAGTCTCAGAGAGGATCAGTGATTTGCCTAACAAATGTCAGAAATAAGGGTTGATCCCCAGCAGGTCACCTGCCTCCAAGTCCAGTATTCTTGCGATACACTATACTACTTCTATTAAGTAGATGTAGAAATGATCCTGAGTACCTTTACCAAGTAGGTGCAAGGAATAATGCATTCATAGGACCTCATTAGAATAAATCTCTCACTTAAAAATGGGAGCCATAGGAAACATATGTTGTTGTTCAGTTGTGTCCAACTCTTCATGACCCCATGGACCATACTGTCCATGAGATTTTCTTTGTAAAGATACTGGAGTGATTTGCCACTTCCTTTGCCAAGGGTTTAAAGCAAACAGAGGTTAAGTGACTTGCCCCAGGGGTCACATAGCTACTAAGTGTCTGAGGCCAAATTTGAACCCAGCACTCTATCCACTCTATCTATCTAGCTGCCTCTTAAATATGGAATTTAACTTTACATTTGTAAAAACTATCAAGACACAATAAAGAAAGGTTCTTATTCTGTTTTTTTATAGTTCTTTAAATCTACCTTGCTAGATATAAATAACTTGGATGCCACATAAAGGCCATTGGTAAACAGGAATTTACTCACTTTTTATGAGATATTGAATGACTAAAAAAGGCTTTTGTCTCCTTCTACCAAGAAATCAACATGAATCTGCTCCAGTTTTGTTTTTGCTGTTAGTCAATAAGCATTTATTAAGCACCTACTATGTGCCAGGCACTGTGCTAAGTACTGGGATACAAAGAAAGACAAAAATTGTTTCTGCCCTCAAGGGGATCACATTCTAATGGGGAAGACAAAATGTAAATAGCTAGGTACACACAAGACACATCCTTTTCAAGGATGACAGTGATATGTGAACCTGAATGTCTTCAGGAGTAATAGGGAAATTTAGAAGAGAGGAAGGTTTCAGGGGAAAGATGAATTCTGTTTTGTACATGTTAAGTTTGAGATGGCTCTGGGACAGCTATTTTGAAATTTCCTTTAAGCAGTTGGCAATAACAGACTAGCACTTGGGAGATAAGAACTAGATATATGTGGGAATCATATGGACAGAGATAATAACTGAACTCATGGGAGCTGATAAGATCACCAAGCCAGACAGCATACAGAGAAAAGAGAAGACAGTCTTAAGATGACCTCATCCTCCCCTGCCATCTTAACAGCGCTCTGACAGTTTACTGGGAAATCGTCAGCTTTTAATAGGATAATTGGAGTATACTGAATAAGTAGCTAGTATTTTCCACTGGCACATACCAAGGTCTTCAAAAACCTTTGTAGATTTGACTTGACTTCCTAGGGATAACTTTTTAAATTATCACTTTAAACTAATTTGCTGTATATTTGACACCATATAGGATATTGGAATAGCTGGGCATCTGAGAGATGTTTTTTCCAATGCCTTATGAAATGTGGCATTATGGAACGGATTTATTTTGGGAATGATCTAATCCAGCAATCATTTATTCAGCATCAACTTTTACCGTAAGGACAGGTAGGCAGCACAGTGGATACAGTGCTGAGTCAGGAAGACTTATCTTCCTGAGTTTAAATCTGGCCTCATATACTTACTAGTTGTGTGACCCTGGGCAAGTCATTTAACCCTGTTTGCCTCAGTTTCCTCATCTGTAAAATGAGCCGAAGAAGGAAAGGGCAAGCCACTCCAACATCTGCCAAGAAAACCCCAAATGGAGTCACAAACAGTCAGACGTGACTTAACGACAACTTTTACTACATGCTTAAATTATTTGGATTTTTTTTCTTTGTTTCATGGGCTCGTGATGAGCCTTTTCACATTTAGGCTTATCCTTTGGACACAAAACTCAATCTATCACTGGGACTATGCTCTAAGCCTTTCTGCCCTGAAAGAACCTGCCTGCTATTTTGAGGGATCTGTGACCTCATTAATAATAATAATTGTTATAATAGCTAACATCTATATAGAGCTTACTATGTGCCAGGCACTAAGTGCTTAACAATTATCTCATTTGATCCTCACAACAACTCTGGGGGTGGGGGAGGTAGGTGTTATTATCCCCATTTTACAGATGAGAAAACTGAGGTAAACAGAGGTTAAATGACTTGCCTAGGCTTATACAACTAGAAAGTATCTGAGGTTTTATTTGAACCCAACCTTGACTCCAGCCTGGATGCTTTATCCACTCTATCTACCACCTAGTACCTTATCATTGATGTGAGTACATTCTTCAGTGGTACAGATTGCTACCTATCCACACCTTCTGTCCTGCAACTCTTCCCTGCCTAAATCTGCCACAGAGCTCCACCCATCATGCTAGGGGTCTTCTGGTTCTCTTGACATTGTATGAAATGCCAGTGGAGTACATGGGCTGTCTATTGCTTATCCCTTATTCTCAATCCATGACTGGCTCATCTTTTCCAGTCAAAAGTGTCTCTGATGACTTCCTTTAAAATGTCAGCCCTGTGAGTGGGGAGGGTAAGGCTGGCAGGTCAGTTGAGCTCAACAGTTCTGAGCTGTAGCAGGCTAAGCCAATCAGGTATCCAAACAAAGTTCAGTATTAATATGATGAGCCCACAAGAGTGGGGACCACCAGATTGCCTAAAGAGAGGCAAATCAGCCCAGTTCAGCTGTCCTGTGATGATCAGACTGGGATTGAGCCTGTGAATAGTCATTGTACTTCCAGGTAGTATGAGATAGGGAGACCCAGCCTTTAAATAAAAACCAAATGTTTCCTTTCCTCATTCTACTCTTTGTTGGTAACATATTGTAACCTACTTAGAACCAATATGCCCCTCAGTTTATTCTTTGGAGAACTGTTGTGTCCCATGATTTGCAGCTCTCTCTACTGGAGAACTTTGGTGGTCATTAAAAACATTGTGCAATTTCCTAAAGGCATTTCCACCTGTTTTCCATCTTCTGTTCAGTTTTGGGCCCAATTGGTTGTTCATCCATAATGTCTGTCCAAGATATGTGTATTGGTGGGTGAGCTCATGGGTTTTCCATACAACTGCATATTAGACAATAGGCATTCTTCATTGACTTATTCTTTTCCCATGTGGGTAAAGGCTAAGCTTTCTTTGAGCTAGTATGCATTTCACTTAGGAGGCTCTGCAGTGTTCTGGGGCATTAAATAATCAGTACGATCTTGGCCACAATGGGATCATCTAGAGGTCCTCACCATCTATAGGGATGGTGTAATTTGCACTGGATTTAATTCACGAGCATGACAAGCACCTTTGGCAAACTAAGCCTTGCTTACTATAACCAAGCAAATGAGTGGGAGACATCGTGTTGGGGAAGAATCTATAATGAACGTTTTAGTCTTTTAGAATAGTCAACAAACAATAACCCAGGAGGGTGTTGTATTCTTTATACCTTTCAGCCAATTGTGTGACAGTAAAGATGTGGTTTGCTGCAGAATATCATTTGAAAAAGTCCATTTCTTAGTCTTATCTTCAAGAACTACCTTAAGGCATGGGTAGATCAATCTAATAAATATTTGCAGAGATAGGAAAGTAGGCATATTTTTATTTCCTCAATTACCTTTTATGGAGGAAGGGTAACAAGGTCTGAAACTATTTTCAGTCCTTTGGTATGCACCACCCTTTCAGATACTTTGAGACTTGATCACTCAACGTTTTAATAACTGTGGTGCCTTCATCATGGGTCTCCCTCCTCTATACCTGCTTGGTCTAGTGTCTATCTTTGTTTTACTTAATGACATTTCTACTTCCTCATTGTAGCACACTGAAAGTGTTGGGAAGTTAGGATCCAAATGTGATAGCTTTACTGGTATTGATGGGAAAAGAGAGTTTGTTATGGAAATATTTGCAGTTTTTAATTCATTTTTGTCGGTTTTTTGTTTTCCTTTTTAGACACTTAATCCTTAAAGCAGATACTTCAGAAGGGGAAATCTCCTTTTGGGACCACTAGGATTTTGCTGTCTACAGATGGAATAATATTTTAATAGAGCCACATTAGCTTTATCATTTAATACCTGGTAGAAATGGGATTCAGGATCGGTGCTTGGAGGGTGGGGCAGGGGATATGGACAAAGATCTCGGTGTAGGGCTAAGGGAGCAAAGAAAAATAAACCACTTATTTTATAATTTTGCAGAACAGCTGTTTAAACCAAAGAGTTATGACCAGAATTTATGTCTTATTTTGGTTATTTTAATAACTAATCATGCTTACATGACTTTCAAAGATAAACCTGCCTTGTATTAAATCCCATTTTAGTGAAAAGCATCATAGCAATATTCATGAGACTTTAATGATCTAAAACAGGGGTGGAGAACCTGCAACCTGTGGCCTTGATTGAGGAGGCAGGGTCCCCACCCCTGATCTAAAAGGTTCTAAAATCAAGAAATTCAGTAGGTAATGGGACCAGATATTTTCTGATCCCTTTCTGAACAATTTCACCCCATTGAGTACTATTCTTTCAATTCAATCATTTGTTTTTCCCCCAGGTACGTTGTTTGCTTGTATTGCTTTCTTAGAGACGCTGGTTGGAGTTACCGCAATTTCTGCCTTTAATGGCATTTATTCAGCCACTGTTGCTTGGTTTTCGGGATTCACTTTTATGCTCTCAGCTGGTCTTTTATTAATCCCAGTTATCAGTCTATGGTACGTCAATATTTAAAAATTGTTTAACAATATGAAAGTCAGCATAAGAATGTGAAAATCTCTTGACCTAGTCTACCAGTTAATTTACATAATTTGCACAAGTTATATATTACAAAGTACCCTTCTCAAGAACTTTTAGCCTTAATAAAATTTGTTAGTTTTAGAGTGGAAGAGGAAAGATGAAGACATACATGGTCACAGATAATAGTACAAAGAAAAAATCATGATTAATAGGGGAACACAAAGGTATTAATTATTATCTCCTTAAATATAGTAAAAATTATTTGATTAGAACACGAGGATAGAAAAGTATTTTAAAACCACAGGAAGTCACTTTAATACCTGTTCAGCCTTTGACGAAATCTTTTAAGCTCTCATCGCTTCAATTTCTCATTTGTGAAATAAGGAGGTTGGAACTTTACTTCCAGTTTGGACATTCTGCTATTCAGAAGGATACTGATTTCATAGAAAATAATTTCTTTCAGATAATATTCCCTAAGCCTGAATTCAACCTGGATTCTTGGCTAAATTTATAAAACCAGATAGTTCACTGCACAGGCTAACAGGAGACCTGAGTTGTCATTCACGATCAAGTGCTAGTGGATTCCTATGTGATTCTATCTTTGTATTTGAATACAAAAAGAAAAGAATTCATAGATTTAGAGCTGGAAGACTATTGATTCTAATCCCCTCGACTTACATATGAGGAAACTGAAGTACATAACAGTTAAGGGACTCACTCATGGTCACACAGCTAGTAAGTGTTGGAGGTGGGATTTGAAGATCAGATCTTTCTGATTCCAGATCCAGTCAGTGCCTTATCTGCTATGCCATGCACACATAAATCCAACAGTATGAGAAAGTGTTGAAGAATCAAGATCAGAAGAATGAACATAAAAATAGATTCACATTTCCTTTTGCTTTCCAGATACTCCAAATCATTTGTCATCTGGATAACTGACAGCTAGAAAAGGAGGAACTATCTATATAGTATTATAGTACTATAATATAACAGATAATAATAATAAATAATAAAACAGATAATAAACAGATCTGGTTTAAAACAGATATAATAACATCACTATACTATGGACCTAGCAAATCAGTAATATAAGCATAATATCTGTAGATCTATAGATATGTATTATATATCTGTATATATATATATCTGTATATTATATATATGTATGTATATATGTATATTTGTCATACTGTATTCAGGGAATTGAACTAGACACTCAGCTTTCTATCTCTACTTCCTTGGAAATGGTAGATAGGATAGCAGAAATGTACATGGGGTGGGGCAACAGTTAGAATCATGTTCTATGGCTTTATTTCCTTTCCCCTAATTAAAGAGGTGCCATGGTTGTTACAGGGACAGGCAAAATGCTTGCTGTCTTCTGGTTTATCAGATGTGTGCAAACAAAAAGCCTGTGCTCCAGACATCTTGACTATTGAGATGTTATTTAGTTGTTTCAGTCGTGTCTGACTCTTCTTGACCCCATTTGGAGTTTTCTTGGCAAAGATACTGGAGTGGTTTGACATTTCCTTCTTCATCTCATTTTATAGATGAGGAAACTCAGGCAAAGAGTTAAATGACTCAACCAAGGTCACACAGCTAGTGTCTGAGGCTACATTTGAACTCAGGTCTTCCTGACTCCGGGTCCAGCACTCTATCCATTGTGTTACCTAGCCACCCAATTGAGATTACATTGCTTTAATAAACAATTATAAATAATAAAATTATTATTTATTAATATATAATTATATAGAAATTAAATAATTTTTAATTTTATTATTTATTATATATAATTTATAATTATATTCATATATAATTATAATTCTTATATTATTATAAACATAAATGAATTAAACATATAATTATATATGAATATAATTATTATCTAAAATAATAAAATAAATATATAATAATAAAATAAAAATCAATGAAATTGAAGAGAATTCTTATTGGAAATCTTTATTCTTTTCCTGATGTACTGTATTTTTATTTTGTTAAACATTTCCCAATTACATTTTACATTTTTTTATATTTTTTTATTTTTTTCTCAATTACATGTAAACAAAAATTTTTGACATTCCTTTTTGAAAAATTTTAACATTCCTTTTTGAAAATTTTGAGTGCCAAATTCTCTCCCTCTTTCTCCCCTCCCCGCTCATTGAGAAGACAAGGAATTTGATAGGTTCTACATGTGCAGTTATACAAAACATTTCCATATTATGTTGGAATACATGATATGTATAGAAGCCCTCTGTATCAACAGTCCATGTAGAGTCTGACCTAAAGATGAGTTCAATGAAAAGGTTTCCTGAAATCTTTTTATCCCTACAAAGCTAAAATGTGCTTATTAAATTAAGAATATTACCAGCCCCTTTGGCTGCTGACAACAGTCAAACAAGTGGCTTCAAATCATCTCAAAAGTTGAGATGATCAGTCTCAGATCGAAGATAAAGCTGAACCAGCTCTTCTGTCAAACCGTGGTTCTCTTGTTCTTCCTCCATGCTGTGGTTTCCCACTGAGGCTATAAGGAGACAGGTAAAGAAACAGAGGAGCACAGGACACAGGATTTTAGATTTGGAGCTTGAAAGGATCTTAGAAGTCAAGCCCAACCACTGCATTTTGCAGATGAGGAAACTGAGCCCTAAGCTCAGGGGGATATTAAGTCACCCAATGGAGTGGTATTTGCATCTAGATCTTCCTTACTCCAAGTCTTGTATTCTGCCCACTACACCACCTTTCTTCCCTCTGTCTTAATTCACACATGAGCCTTCTTTCACTTTCCTCCAAGGTAGTTAACTGCATTTTATTCAAAATGACACTATGTATACCTCTATACTGCAAAATTTGATAAGAAGACTGTTGGCTAGGATAGGTGGAATGAAAATTACTGACAGACTCAATAAATTGCTTTATCTGTTTGAAAACATTTTATTCATTCATCTATTTATTTATTCTGTTTTTTTTTTGCAGTGTTATAATGTGTATTAGTTGGGATGAAGAAGACCATGAGCTTCTTATACAAGAAGAATCCAGGGAAGACAGCATAGTCAACTGAGCCATTATGATGTTTTCCTTATTCATTAGCATTGTCATATGCTCTACCTGTATGATAAATGAAGTGATGGAGCACATGGTTCTCTACCACACTGTTAACTAACTCACTGCTAACTAGAAAATAAGCCCCTACCGATCAGGGACTATGTTTCCTTTTTGCACTAACTTTGGTAGGATGCTATCTATGCACATTGAGCACTTAGTATTGGAGTGATGTTTAAAATGATACGTTAATACCAATACAGAGATGGAACTTTTCAATGAGCTGCGCTTTTTTTTTTTTAATGTCCAAAAAGGGACGTAAAACATAACAGCCCAGGGAAGCTAGTGAAACCCCGATCTGTGAACTCCAATCCTGTGATGTCAGTGTTTACCTCCCGAACAAAATACTTATCATCTTTGTACCTTGGACTTTTCATCTATGTAGCTTGTGAGGCAATACTGATCCACCTCTCAGGGATGTTTAGATGAATAACTAATGGAAATAATAAAATAATAAATATAACATAGCAGCACCCAATACCTGGTATGATGAGTTGCACTTAGTAAGTGCTTAACAAATGTTTATTGAATTGTCTGTATTGGCAGTTACCACGATTTGGAATAGAATCACCCCTAAAAATAGCTATGATTGTGTTATGGCTAACTCAAATTTGGTTATGGCCAAAATTATGAACCTCCAAAAGACAAGCCACCTGACCACTATGGTTTTTTTTAAAACTTTTTCTGGTTTCTGTTAATCTTGATAATACTCCTAATTTTGTACATTGAGATGGTTTAAAAATGGAAATGTGGGCTTATAAAATCGACTTTCAAAATCTTTTGAAAAATTAATAAATTGAAAAACAATATGAAGCATTGTATGATTATATGCTACTCTTTTCTGCAAGAGATGTTCACACTATATAATCTCTATAATTTTAATTGTATAAACAAAGATCAGAGTAAGCACTTAATAAATACTGAAAGAGACTGTCCCAAAAGTCTTAGTGCTGTTTTTAAGCTTTAAATAACAGAAATATAAATGGCACAAACTTAAAAAAACATTTAGAAGGTAAAATATTGGCAAGTTTCTTAACGAATCCAACATAATCACTGTCTCTGTCTATTTTTGAACTTTGTAAAAACTTCCATCCACTGCTGCTCAGGGACTAAAGGACTGTGTTTGAAATTGAAGCCTTAAGATCATGACAGGTCTAGATGCCTTTGTGACAGTTTTGACATGATCTCCTAAGAAAGAGCCTCAGGTGACTGAAATGGCTAAACAAGAGTACCTCCATTACCAATCCTAGGTCTGAGATAGTGTCATCCACCAACTGTCTGACATGTGATGCATGACAGGATAAATGGTCTTGTTAAAATTAAATTATTAAAAATTCACAAAACTAAATGTTAAAGAAATTTAAATATCAATTTAATTACTAATTAACATAATTAATATTAAATTAAAAATTTAAATAAAACATTAATGTTTTAATAAAATTAATTTGAATAAAATTTAATTGTCAACTGATTTTTTTGTAAGTTTGTAGCATGTATACTTCTGTAGTTAGTGAAGCTTGAAACTTCACTGAGACTTGGGATATCCCAAAGAGTAACCCATGGGGACAGTAATGTTAATTCACCTTAGTGATATTTACTATGCTGTATAGGACTTAACACATTATAACCACACAGTAACTATTAGGCCACGTATCTGTACTTGTTATTGTCATAGTTACATAATAATAACCACACTGGTAATAAATCACTTAGTGAACTTCCTCATAGAAGATGTCCAGTGTGTGAAATCAACTTGTGGTTTCACTGTTCTCAACACAAATAATACTAGCTAAGCTTAAATCAGATTAAACTTGACTCCCATTCTCTGCAGCAACGAAGCCACGGCCTGTCCATGACCTAGGAAACTGATTTTTGTCACAGTTGAACAATATATCTCCTTGTCCTAATTCCATGAGGTCACGACCCTCAAAAGAAGCAAAAGGACAAGGTGCAGCTGACAAAGCACATCCACGGGTTCTTGTAATAAATCCAAGAGGAAAAATAAACTGCAACCAAACTTTATGTGAGGGGGGAAGGGGAAGATTTTATTTTTCACCTTAAATGGGCTGAAAATGATGTCCTTAAAAACATCTCCAAACTTGAAAGCGTCAACAAATAACTCGATGGTAGTATGTCTATTAGAATCATATCTAAATTCTACTCAGTATGCTCAGACTTAAAATGCACTGAAGAAAGGCTAGACAGTTTATTGCTAATTGAAATTGTAATCAAAGCAGTTACAATAATAGTAGCTAAGCATTTATATAATACTGTAGGATTTGCAAAATGCTTTAACCGTCGGAGATAGGTGCTATTATCATCTCTGTTTTGCAGGTGAGGAAACTGAGGCAGACTGCACAACTTGCACCAGGAACAAACAGTATCTGTGCCCCCAGCTGCCTAGCTACAGGAATCTGAATTGTAGACCAAACTCAGAATTGAAGTACTGATTCTGTCAGGTTCAAGTCAGACGAAAGAGTGAAAGCTATTCATTTTGTCTGATGTAAATTAACAGTCTAGAAAATGCTGATTGACATAATTCAACTACTTAATTGAATCAACCTACCTCAATATTCTAAATAACATAATTGTCTGGTGGATTCAATTACAGCTTCCTGAGAAATCCAGTTAAAAATGACTACCTTTTTATATTATTAGTTCTACGTTTTTGGTCCATGACAAATGCCTAATTCCCCACAAAGTAGCAGATCCACTTCACTTCTCATTTATTTTGCAAATGTTATTATGAATTTTAAAAAGTTTTGAATTATATAAGAACTGTACAGAGCAATCGTCATGGTCACTACTTTGCTGAAAAAGTTTTCATAGGCTTTAATAGGAACATAAGATAAAATTGCAGCATAAGTGGAGTGACACCATCAAGTTTTGCAGGCTTAAAGATAGAATTACTTAATAATAATAATAATGATATAGCTAATAATAAATACACTCTTTAAGATTTGCCAAGTATTTTATACCCATTACCTCGTTTGATCCTCACAACAACCCTAGGAGGGAAATGCTTTAACTATCCCCATTCTGCAGATGAGAAAACTAAGGCAAGTAGAGGTTAAGTGATTTACCCAAGGACTGTGTGGATTGAACACATTAGCTAGTAATGTCTGAGGCAGAATTTGAAATTGGGTCTTCCTGACTCCAAGTCTAGTTCTATCATATTTAAACCACATATTTCTGCAGATATTTTGGTTTGTGATTTCTGTAAAAACTAGACACCAAAAGGCACAAAAACTAGTGGAAAAAGTGTTTCTTAAAGGAGCTACAGATATAGAATGCAGGGTCTTTGGGGGAGTGATAACAATAAGACTTAAATAACTGTTAACAAGACACCCCAAAGAGTGTAAAACCACTACTGGCATCTTGCTTCTTACCTAGCATTGTTAAAACTACAGGATCCCCAAGTTCTATCCCATCTTTGTTGTTAGTTTTCAAATGATTCTTTCTTGAAATTGAATTGACTTTCTCCCACATCCCCACAGGCTTAAAATAAAAGAGACTCAGATTTTACAGGTAATTTGGTACTTTTTATTGTGAATTTTCCTTTTTTCCCAGATTTTAACCACATTGTACAATTTATTTTTTTGTAAAATAACTTGAATCTGGATGCAACTTACAAAAGCAAAACAGAGAGACAAGGGAAGTCCTAGACTGGACAATGACAGCTTATATATGTGTCTAATAATGTGGGAATTGAGTGAACCATACTGACTCCATCTTGTGACTCAATTCTGGATCTAGTTCAGTTCCCTTTCTATTTAACTATGGGTCTAATCCAATTTCTGTCCTGTGAGAAAACTTAGGATGGGAATCATGAGAAAACTTTATTGCATTGTTTAGACCTAGCCCTGAGTGGCTGGGAAGCTGGACCACTTCTACCTGTTGCTTGAAGAATTTTAATTAAGGATCTAGGTTACCAGAGACTCAGTCAAATCCAAAGACTGATGCAAGGAGTTTTCTCACAATTACATCTCAAGCAATCCATGTCTTATCTGAAAATCGGCCCTTGTCTAATCAGTTACTATTTTCACATTCTTTTGATTGAATCCAGGGGTGGGGAACCTGTGGCCTCGAGGTCACACGTGGCCTTCTAGGTCCTGAAGTGCAGCCCTCTGACTGAATCCAAACTTCACAGAACAAATCCCTAAGGATTTGCACTAAGTGCAATCCCTTAGGATTTGCACTAAGTGCAATCCCTTAGGATTTGCACTAAGTGCAATCCCTTAGGATTTGCACTAAGTGCAATCCCTTAGGATTTGCACTAAGTGCAATCCCTTAGGATTTG